CGCTCTTCCTTCAAAGCTATAAAGTCCTGACCCAAATGTTTTATCGTCCTCCACTGTGAAAGAAGCAATTACTCGGAAGCACGGGTCTGGACTTACACTTTGACTATCTTCCGTGCGCGATGCTGTTTTTGACAGGATAATTTTATAAACGAGATGCCCAGCAGCACTGCGGAGAGGAGAGGAAGCCGAGAGTAAAACAAAGCAACTGAGCTCGAAAAGCAACTTACCGCAGGACTCAGCGTGGTGCTCTGGGGCGGCCAAGGGGGAAAAAGAGCGCGGGGGGGAGAGGTAATGCTAGCCCTGCAGGCTCACGCTGCTGGCAGGCACAATCGGCAAGACTTTTCTCTACAGGATTTATAATAATTATCTTTAATAACAGATGAATTTTACCATTCAGAAGGTTTCAGAAGGAGACTTGTGCCTCTAGCGCACTGCAGCAAGTAACGTTAGGGGCGTTAACGTACCAGGACTGAACCAGGACCAGGGTTATTTCACGCCACGCTTTTCACGCGGCCGCCTGCGGAGCGAGCGGCGCCCGGAGAGCGCAAGCGCGTCCCGGCGTCCGGCCGACAAACGCGGTCGGACCAAAGCCTGCTCCTTGCGAACGCAGAAGGATTTTCAGCGGTTTAGGGGATGGTGGCATACTTAAAGCAAAAACCAGACACAAAACCCCTCAGCCCCAAACCCAAAGACTGCTGTAAAAACCCTTTTGTTTCAGCCCGCGCTCTCCGAAGCAGCGGGCTTGGCTCCGAGACGCTTTATTAGGTCTAAGAGATCAGAAGCGCTCACATCTAGAGAGAGCTCTGGCACTTCCAGCCGATGCGTCTTTTCTGCACAGCCTGCAGGTGCTAATTTACTTTGGGCTGCTGCCTTTCATATATGAAAAGCACGGCGCGGAAAGGCAGGAGTCGAGCGTGACTAGCAAATACTTCAGGAAACACAACAAAGGAAGTGTGTGTGTGTGGGGGGGGAACACATCAATCCGAAGGAAAATAATTGCCTCCAAGAGCAACCAATGCTGGGGTATTTTTCTGTGCTCCTACTCGAAGGTAAAACACGCTTAGGGCTGCAAGCCTACGTGCCGCTTTGCGGACCGATTCTGCGGTTCTGCTGGGCGCCAAAGCCCAGAGCGCCGCTCTTGCACCGAACCCCAACACAGAGAACTAAACGACGTGACAAAGTCGATACGCCTGGAAAACTGCCCAGCTGACACTGCTCGCCCCCCCAGACCCTGAGCCCACACCTTGGTACCCATGGCAAAACCAAAAAAAAACGCACAGAAAACCCACCAAAAGAAGAGTTCTGCAAGTTTTATTACAGGGATCTTGCACAGGCTCTGGAAAGGCAACTGCTCTGGCAGCAGCCGGCCACTGCCACGCTTGACTGCAAAACCGGGATATATTAGTACAAGGATGCTGGAGCCGGGCCTAGAAATCTCTAGATGAGAAAACAGCTAATTTGCTTCTCGCTTCAGCCACCGCTTCGGCAGAGCGGTGCTTTTTGTGACGGCCCTTTTAAATAAGCAACGTAGAGCCATCGCCGAGTCCCAGGACAGCTCTGGAAAGCAGAACTCGAGGCAGCAGCCTCCAGCAGTCCCTCAGTTTCTATACCCGTCCGAATCATTTTGCTGCAATACAAAGCCACCGTTTCTTAAGCTACTGAGGGCTCTGAGGCACGGGATCAGCTGCTTGTTCTACTAACTGAGAGCTGATCAATAAAGTTATGTCATACTTTATGGATCAACCTCCCCCCACTCCCGGTTTCTAAAGCCGGACTAGCTGCTGTCAACAAACCCAAGACCCAAGGCTAACTTTTCCAGACACCCCCCGGTTACTAGTTCAAAAAGTTACTTTTGAGCCAAAGCAGCCCCAGCAAAAACGCACGTTCCAAGCCACAACAGCGGTACGCTCTCCTATGGGTGTGCTTGTCCAAGCCCCAAGTCAACCGGCCACGCACGCAGTAGGTATAGGAAAATCATGTTATTTCACGTAACAGAAATACATCCCGGCGCACAGAGCGGGGAGAGCAAGCCAGGGCTATCGGCGAAGCATCCAGCTCCCAGGAGCATAAGCAAAAAGATGCAAAAAGCTCAACTCCAGACCAGACTATCAGTCAGCGTCTCTAACGAAAAAAAAAAAAGGTCGACTTCAGGAGACAAACTCATACCAGAAGAGAAAACATCAGCTCTTAGCCACGACAACCGCTTGTGTAGAAAAAGCCAGGCTGCCTGACCGACAGGAGGAGAAGGGAGGCATGACGCCCTGCAAAAGCCCAAGAGGGAAGAAGCTCACCCCTGGCCCGGCAGCCACGGCTGGGGGCAGGACAGACGGCACACGCGACTGCCGGGGGACACGGCCCATGGCTCCGCGATGGAGATCGCTTGTACGTACTTCGATTAGGAAGCGCAAAGGAACCAGGAAGGCACCTGACTGCAGAGGTTAATCTACTCCCTTCTCTGAAAAAGCATGGAGAAGAGGGGAAGGAAAAAAAACCCACAAACCTGTAGTATCTTTTCACCTTTCTGAGAAAGGTCTGTGCATCCAAAGGCTGCGCTAACACAGGGGTGGAACTACAAAGGCCAAGGTCTTATCTGCTTTCAAATATTGGTAATTTTTTTAAGTGGGGGAGGGGAAGGTGTACACACATGCATGCATGCAAACAGCACAGCAGCTCAATATAGATTAACTATTTGGGGGTCATTTTCTTCATGCTTTGACTTTTCACCTAGCTCTTCCATCTTGAAAAGCCGTTATTAGACTGCCAAGTTACACGCGTAGCGACTGGAGCTGAGGAGACAAACCAAAAGCCGAACTTGCAAGCTGCCAAACATTGGAGAATTAATTGACCACCCTTCCAAGGAAAAGAAGGAAAAAGGGGGGGTGTGGAAGAGAGGAGCACTCTTAAGAAATACAAGCAACACCAGAAGCCCTGCGTGAATTTCAGAGAAAGCTTTAAGGAATCCTTTTTTCCTATTACCTTTTTGCTCCCATGTTTACTTAAAAGACATAGGGAAGAACTATATTCCCCCCCGCACCCACCCAAAGTCTGGATAGTCCCCCTCCCCCCTTTTCATGACTACTTAGCCATACAGGAAAGAGCAAGAGAGCCACTGTGCAGCAGCGTGGGACTGCAGAGTTGGAATCAACAGGCAGGTGTGCCGTTTGCTGAAGCTACTGGTTGTGTCCTTATCTAGGAGATTTGATCCCTACACATGCCATGTTGAATTTGGCGGGATTCAGACTCCCTATAAGATCCAGCAGCCCTGATTTTCAGAACCAGTACAAAGAGCCCAGGGCTGAAGTCACGTGAAAGTTGAAAGGATCTAGCAGCTCAGTGCACTCGGCAGCGTTCAGGGCCTCCAGCAGCGACTCACTGCAGCCCGTGCAAACACTTTCATCAGGGCTGTGCCACCAAGAGCCCCGAGGTTATGGGCACAGACCCAGCTGGCACCACCTGCATGAAGATTTGTCCATACAGTGAAGTTCCTATCAAGGACAGTCGTTTGAAAGAATCAAAAGTTCACGTGCACAGACTAGTCATGTTTTCTTCAGCTTATTGAAACAACTCACAGGGAGTGCAGCTCTAACAAAAAAACCAGTTTTCTACTGCACTTTTCTCATGTTGAGAGCTGCTCCTGTCTTCCTTCTGCGACTTTCCCAAAAGGCAAGTCAGAAGGCGAGTGGCTTTATCCCCTACAACACAGCTCATTTCCTCCAGTCATCTCTTGGACAACTCATTCTAAGGAGCTTACCCTGTCAAAGATAAAGGACCACTCATTTCAATGTGTTAGATGCTTTTATTTTGTGCTATCAGTGCAAATTTAACACCAAGCCTACCACCATTTGTGCAATATCTTTCACAAACCAAATCTTACAAATATACAGTAATGTACAGCAGAACAGACCAAAGCAGTATTCTTTAACCTTCAAGAGACATGAAGCCAATGCAGAATGAAACTAAACAGAGAAAAGACAGCTATTACAAGAATGTGATCACTAATGGCAAATAAAGTTCTGTTTTGGGAAATCTGAGAAAGCCAACCTATTTTATTTTCTGTCCTCCAATGACGCTGCACCCAGTTTTTATTCTTAGTTGCAACAGCAGCCTATTTTAGTACTTAAGAACCACGTGACTAAGTGTTCCAGTGTAACACCTCACATGGAGGTACATGATGCAATTTTCCTTTAGTGACAGCATGTTTTTATACATATTTATTTTATGTGTTCCCAGCACTACAGTTTATGTATAGTCTTTTACTACGCTTTCCTATGTAATCCACTAAAACATCACCTTGTCGAGCTGAGTATCATTAGCATAAACCGGAAGAGAAACATGAAATTTGAATACAGTTTAATCAACCAGTACCCAGCCCACTGGGGCAGGATAACAGTTATGAAACAATATTAACATATAGTTGACAAAAAGAAACAAGAGAAACCAAGTGCAAGAAGTGAGCTTAGGCCTCTCGGATTTACATTCCTTGAGGTACGTAATGCGGTGCAGGGTTAGGTGAGGCAACATAGCTGACTTGGTGCAATGGTCCAGAACTTGCAGCATTAGGAATCCGGGGAGAATTTCCATATGATGGATTTACTGGATGCCAGGAACTAATATAGTGATAGGTAGGTACTAAAGAGATGCAAGAGTCAAATCCAGGGAGGGACGGCTGGCTGAAGGGATCCGACACTACTGGATAATACACTGTTCCATGGGATGGGGGTGGAGGCTCTACATTTTGAAAGTTACCTTAAAGAAGAAAAACAAAATACACCCTAGACATAATTGCCATATTTTAGCTTTATGACTAATATTTGTATGCAGACCTTCGTTGCCATGAACAGCGTTATACTGGTGGCAAAAGGGAAAACCCATTTAGGTGGCAACAATTTTGTGCCCATATATATCCTTCCTAACAGAGGGGTGAGGGCTCATCTCAGGTACCGAATTAAACTAGAAGGCAAAACCCTGTTCGAGAAGTTTGTAACAAAACCCTGCATTAAAAAAAGCAACTTTTTCAAGGAGGACTCAGGTAAGAGAGACGATATATTCTTCCCTTATTTAGCCTGTGACCATACAACACTGATCTGTGCAAGAGCACCTCTTCAGCTGATCTGGCTAAAGTACTATCAGAACATTAAGCCTGTAAGCCTCTGAGCAATAGCTTTATTATTATGTGCTTCTTTCCATCACTGACCATTTGCCATGTTTCACAGATTTTAATGAGCCAGGCATCCGACCTTTTGACATCTTTTTCCTCATTTAATGCAATCCTCTTATTTACTGCCAAGTATATCTACAAGCCTGTTACAAAGCTGCTAGGTTAAGCCAAGTTTTGCTGTAAATCTTATTCACAGTAAAAGACGTGGCTAGCAATAAGGGCTACTTGGAGGATAACAACTCAGCATGCGGAGCCTAAAAAAGTTTTGTAGCATTTCCCTTATTTAAAAAAAAAAAAAAAGTACCAGTGCTTAGTGCTTGCCAAAACTCGACTGTCTCCTTCACTTTAGATACGTGCATTCTGTTTCAATACCTTAACTATTTGCTTATCAATAAACAAAGACATGCATCCAACACAACTTCAGAAAAAGTTCTTCCAAATTAGCGTACCAAGTACAGACCTAGAAAGGATTACATTTTCCTCTTTATGGCTTTACAAAGGCCTTGATATTAGTGACTACAGTGACAATGCTGACATAACCTTGAGTACTACCAAAGATAGCAGAGGAACTGCAATAACCTATTACGACACTTACGCTGCATGTTCTCCCAACCTCCTGCTTCCTACTGGATAACAAAGGTGCTGGCAGGCTGCTATGGAGCAGACAGTCTATAAATCCCTTCCCTAGCTTCTCACAATTCATCCATGTGGCCTTATACTCAAATACTAACCATTTGCAGGTGTTTCCAGGGGAACTTGATGAACTTCAGTCCGCCCAGCATCAGTGTAGAGCTGAGGTACCGACTGATCCAGGACTGGGGCAGGCTCAGTGTATGCTGGATAAGCTTCCACAGGTGATGGTGGTGGCACTGGCTGCACATAAACCATGGAATGCCAATAGCTCTGATGATAATACTTTGGAAAGAGAGGAAAGTCATCAAGGCAATGGATACAACCACATAGTCTCCATTCCTCCTCCAAATTAATTTGCAGATCTAAAAGCAGCAAGAAGTATATTTTCCCTTCTATCACTTTGAGATGATGGTATTACCCCTCCTCCCCCAAAAAGTCAGAAAAGTTACTGCAATACCGACAAAGACAGCCGTCTATTTTGCTTTCAGTTCTATGATGCTGTCCCTTGTTACAGATCTTTACAGAGAATCAAAATTCCCTTCTTATTGACCTTGTCACCTTCAGAGACTTTTGTTTCTTCAGCTGAAGGAGCTGACATACTTTTTACATCCCTGCGTAGCAGCACCAACACTGCCTTCTATACCAGAGACAACTCTTTAAGCAGAGCTATGTTTCCCAGAACACTAAGTGGTGCTAACCAGTTTGAACACAGCTGTACAAGTCCTAGAGGACTCAAACTATACATCTGAATAGTCTTTGATGTGCACATACACAAGTCTTTGATATGCTCATACAAAAGAATAATATTTATCCAATGCCCTCTGCAAAAAAAAAAGTGAAACAACTAGACGTACTAAGGTGCTTCACGATTGGAGTTGGAAGAGATTAAAGTAAAGCTCAGGAAGTGAAGTTCCAAGAAAGCCTATATGTATTAATAGTCAAGTGCACAGGATGCACATTTAGCACACTGGCAAGTCTCAAATACACCAGTACAACTGTCAAGACAAGCAGCAGCTTTTACAGGCAATTTACTGTAGTCATTTTAAAAGCACTTACTTGCAATCCCAGATTAAAGTAATATTGCAAAACCTTTGTATCTGAAATTAAAGGACATGACATTAAAAAGAGCAGAAGAGTAAAATAAGAAGCAACAGAAATTCACACACATTAAGAACATTTTGCTTTAAGTCACTAAGCAAATATTTACTTTTTCTTGAAAGTTTTGAGGGTTAAGAACGTATCTGGAATATCACCAGCCTTTAGAACTGGTGCATCTTTCTAGGTAAATTAATCCAATACAATATCTGTGCAACAGTTACACATCTGCCTGACCAACTTTTATCAAGCTTCAGTGATTATGTTGGCTTTGATTCTGGTTTATCCAACTTGATTAGTCAACTGACAACAGATATAGCATTATTATAAGCCTCTGCAGTATACCACACCTTTGATTAGCAATTCTGACTTCCTATTAAGGCTGGGTGAAAAAGGAATTTAATACCCAATAAGAATTTGATCCTAAGCCCCTAAATGAAGGTGATTGCTAAAAGCACTCCCATCACTTTCCAGTAGCAATTCATGTACAACGTAGACATATTGTATACGCACTGCATACATACTGAAAATAACCATGCTGGGTTAACACATGAAAAAAAATGGCCCAGCTCCACGGAGACTACAGCTTCATACTGCTTCTGCCCTCTGCTAAACCCAACTCTGCAGCCACTGTCTCCAGCTTCAGCGCTTTGGTGAGCAATAACCATACAGAGAAACATCAATTGGGACAACATGTATAGCAATCCCAAGGCCTGAAGAATTAGATTTTCTCTTTTTTGATTTTCCTCATGTTCTGATGTGATATAAAAAGGGAGATGTTCCCTTCCTCGCAAGGATCAAAGGGTACCCAGTTTCTGGCCTTCTTGCAGCTAGCCTTTTACTTCTGTCATCCATGAATTGACTAATTTGCCCCCAGCAAAAAAACTTGATACTCTGAGGAGCAATCCCAGAAGCGTGGAAGGACTTAAAAACACTTCACGTGAATAATACCCTTTTGAACTTGGAAAAGGCTTTCCAACTATCCAAAAGAGTTAAGTAGTTCAAAAACTTTCTAGTTTGCTCTGGGGGGAAAGCAGGAGGGTAAGGGGGAAAAAAGAGAGAGAGAGAGGGGCAAGCATATTTTTCATCCTGTGATGCAGTTCTAGAAACGTGTATAAGGAAAAAAAAAGTTGATTTTTCAGTCTCAAAAACACATTTGTTTCAAAAGGCTCAGGAAGGAGAGCAAGTCACCCATTCCTCAGGAATACATTTGCGCACACACACACACAAAGGCAGATTAGTAATTTGATTAGTACTGCTGGGAGCTGAAAAGCAGAGCAGCGTAACAGGGAGACAACTCAAGATGATGAGTGAGCCACTAAGGGCTTCAACCCAGCAATGCTTCCAGAGCTACCATGTACCCCAGCTTCCTACCACCGACCCATCTGTCCCCAGTCAGAGCCTTGGGGCCACAGGGCTTCCCTGCCCATCCGCTGCCCCCCGACACACACACACTTTCCTAGCCCTACGCTTCTATGTACTGTGGGTCCTACTTTGCTGCAGACAGGCACAGCCCAGGGAATGCAAACCCCAATTCTGCAATTAATGAAGATTAGTTTCCTCTGTTGTCAGTTCTCAGCTCTTTCACTGCCCAGGGTATTTGATCAGGGCAACAATCTACTTAGCTATGTTAGTAATTACACACAGATCCTTCCTCATGCCTAACAGCTGGTTAGCTTACTCCTGGAAGTGCTGGTGCTTTGGTTGCAACATTGACCCCAGTCAGTAAAATATTAAAAATAGCCTGAAGACTCACAAAAAAGTCAGCTTTTATGTATCTAGCTGGAACTGCATCTACATTTGGAGCAAGTTTTTTAAAATCTGATTTTGTTCTTCAATTATTTATGCAAATCTATGCAAAACGAGCATAGAAGCTGAATGAAACAGCTGCTTCCTAGCAGAGATAACAGTACAAAGGAGGAGCTGGGAGACTGAAGTGACAAACTGATACTGGAAACACTGATGTCTGTGGAATGCTGGAACAGAAGTACAGCAGGAGACCAGTTTTTGTTTATATTCTTCTTTTAGATGTCTAGAAATCAAGATGATCCTCAGCAAAATATGGCCACCTTATGAAGCAACAGCTAAATCAAGGAAAATTAGCCACCCTGACACAAAAATATAAAGCACATGTTAATTTCCAATAAAACCTTGTCTTATAATGCATGAGGGCAAAGTTCTTGACAAGATTTTTACTGTGCTGATGAGTGGCTCTGATCAATCCCGATGCTACTGCAGGAAAGGAGCCGTCTCTGAAACGCAGAAACGTCAAGCACTCTTATCAACAGCTTCTTCAAATACAAGGGAGCAGACGAGGGTCAGACACCTAAGATCACTGTAACACAAACAGGTTTCAGAAGCCTAGACTCCATTGGAAAAGATCCAAGAAAGTCTGAAAAATCAGGACAGACGCAGATGTACAAAGAAACGCTAAGGCACCTGGCTTGTTTTCTTCCCTACTCCGTTAAAATCTTAAGTCTCTTCACAAGTCAGCCACCCAAACTACACCAGGCCAAACATCTGTCCTGCAGGAACCTCTTAACAGAAAAGGATAGAATTGCAGGTCGAGGATATCTAAACACCTTATCTTCCACTATACTAAAGCTCCTGGATTTCTTAATTTAATAGCTGAGTAGATTCCACTGCAGCAGTGTGACAACATAAACGCTACATGCAACTCCTTATTAACTATCAGCCTTAAAATTCTTAAAAAAAAAAGTTTGTCCCTGAAAGACATGGCAGATATTAGGTGGAGAGACTCAGAAGAGCCACAGGCAGGGACTGAAGAGGCTATTAATCCACATCCACTCCAGATTCTTGTTAGTGAATTAACACCCCATTCTCCCAAGTGCTGAAAGCCTCAGTTAAGGGCATTCCACTAAAGTTGGAGACAATTAACTCTGATGTGTGCTTAATACCATCTAGAGCAATCCTACTACAGTAGGAAAGTGGGAAATAGAATATTCAAGATTAATAAAAACAGGAATTGAGAGCACCTGTAAAAAACAGAGTTACTGCAGAACACATTAGCAATACTAGCAGAGCTCTGAGCAGCCATGTCGTAACACCGTGCATCCTGCTTTCCTCCAGATCAGCCTCTGGCAAAACAAGCAGGCTGCTCTGTAAATGCATCTGATGGAGTCCGTATCTTTTCGGCTCAAAGCTGCTCTGCAGCCTACCAGAGGCAGCTACCTGAACTGCAGCTATCAAGAGCGGCTCTTCCCGTTATTTGGGATTGTCCCTCTAGGATAAGTGCTTTGAGGAAAGTCCCAGACAGGGACAAAAGAGCTACTTTAGATAACAATATGTTGAATCAAGCATGAAAACAATTTGTTACCCAAGTATTTTGTGTTCTGAGTAATAGACCTCAGAAAAATAATAAGAAAACCTCACCCTTTATATTCTGATGCTAAAAGAAAGTGCCAGACACCTGAAATGCATGGTCAGGTGGGGAGTGGGGGAAGGGAAACGAATCCAGGCAGTTACAGTGAGTGTATCTTCTGAAACAGTGCAGAAGTCTGAATTTCACAGACCCTACAGACACACACAGCCAGTTCCTTTCCTCACTCACCCCTAAAGGAAAAGGGCCTCTCTACACCAGCAGCAGAGCAAGAGAATAGGAGACACAGAAACTTGAATTAAATGTAATAAGCCTCTGATAAAATACTGTCTGCTGCATCTGTAGAAGACTATTAGAGTAAGCTAGCTATGACGCACAGACATTCAACGTATCCAGTGTGGGAGGGAGGCATGTAAAAAGCATGTGTACTTCAACCCACACGCAGAAATACACTCACTACAAGGGCAGTAAGCATCTATGCAGCCAGCCAGTTTTGCATTACTGCTCTTTAGAGCAGACTATAGTTTACCTTTAGCTTAGCCTCACTATTGCCAGAAATAGCCCCACTTCGAGGTCCCTGCAAGTCAGCCAGAGAAGGCAGAAATAACTGAAGCTGTTCTACTTGCTACAGTGGCAGCCCAGGTACAGCTGGAGGCATAACTCAACTCCAACTCTTATCCAGACCATTCCTGCCCCAGCCTTCTGGCCTGGGCACTAAGCTGGGACAAGCTGAACACTGCTATCAGAGGACAAGCCAGCTGAGTTACTAAGTTTGCTTTTACAGCCCTTCTCAATTTTTAACCCTTAGTGCTGTTTGAGCCAATGCACTGTCAAAGGACATGCGCAAGGAAAGAGACTGAGTTTTTCTACAGCTGTCCAAAACTATAAACCAAGCAATCCTTTATCAGCTAAGGCAAGACACTGCATCACAGATGAGTTTTATCTGCCTCTTGAAATTAGTGCAGTGATCTGAAGGTGACACTCAGGTCTCAGCTACGTTCCTACCTAGAGGAAAGCAAGGTATACAGCATAATAAGCAATACTGTTATTCCTGTGGCCGAGAGGCACTTTGCCAGTGCTACTGACAGGAGACTGCTTGATTCTTGGGTTATTAAGCAAAGCTCTCCTGAATTGCAGGCCCTGATTGTGTCTTGAGAGCCATGAAATTAATAACTCAAAAGGCAAATATGATGCATGTTGCACTGTTTACCAAGCTCAATTGTTTGATATAAACTCGCATGGCATGCAGGTATTCTTAATCTGTAACAGCAAGCTGATTAACCAAGAGTTACCATTTAAGAATGCCCAAGTTCAGCAGCTGGGTAAAGCTGACTCAGAGCTGCTTTGCTGGGAGGTGCTAGGCTGCTCTTTTCACACTTACTGCTTAATAGCTGAAATCTACTGTAAGAGACCCTATCATAATTCATGACGGTATATGAACATGCTATATATATACCTGAGGAACCAAAAACCCTATACTTCATCCCCATTTCATGATGCCACAGAACGACATCAGAGCCGCAAAGGACAACAGCACAACGTTCCACTGAATTGTGCAACAGCAAGACATCATGAAGACATAACACCTACCAATTATCAGAAAAAAAAGAAAATTACTCCACCCAGAGCCAACAAGATACAGGCCAACAACCCACTCCCTTGATATTTCTGTTTCTTTAGGATACTGTCTAAAGCTTCAGTGCCATGTTTGACTCTGATATGATGTTCAGCAATAGGAATTAAAAACATTTTTACCATAAGCATCAATAGTATTCCTTCTGGAATATTATCTTTTTGTCTCACTACAGATATTCTGCAAAGTTCCCATAAAAAACACAAGTCAGAACTGTGCCAAATTGCAGCGTTAGTAAAAGCACAAAGTACACCTTCATTACCTCGTGGTAGGTCATTGCCGCTGGGATCACAAGAGTAAGGTGGAGGAATGGCACCAGGTTCTCCCACCTCACTGACTGGAGGAAGAGGAGCCGAATAAATTGGGAATGGCACTGAAGAAACTGCTACTATTAGAAAGAAACAAAAGTCAAGTCAAATTTGTAATGGCATTCTAAATGAACAAGATGCTAAGTTACACAACTAAGCATGTGCTTCTTTCCGGTCATCTCAGCGCCCCTAAAGACAGGTTTTAACTTGAAGTTTTCTTTACTAATCATATCCCTCCCACTTCATAAGAAGTCCAGAAAAAGAACTTTAAAACCAGATGGGAAGGTTCCAATCTCACAAGCCTTAACCGTATGTCTATTCACAAGTTCCATATTCCAGTTAAGATTAAATATCTCTTTTCAATCAGTTCTTCAAACTAGGAGGCAGTTCAGGCTTTTCTTACATAATTGTCTGTCCTAGAACAACAGGGAACAGACTGATCACTTTAAGTCATCAAAAACGTCACTGAAAAGAGAGGAAGGTTCAAGAGAAGTCATGCAGAAGTTATTTTAGATAAACTTTGCTGAATATTCATTAGTTGGCCCAGACCTCTAGAACACCAGCAGATTATTTGTAAAAGCACCAAGTGCAGAGCTTGCAGAGAACTGTGCCAACTGAATTCTTGTGCAGAAATATCAGCCTAAGTGGAAAAACCCCCAAATTAAGACAGACACTGAGCAATGGTGAAAAGGGAGACAGAACTGGGCAAAATGAGGATGGGGGGGGGGGGGGGGGGGGGGGAAGGGGGAGGGAGGGAGGGATACTAATTGCATGCAAATTCAGGGGCAATTATTCCCTTCAAAACATGCAAACAGAGTTAGCAGTGAAGTTAAAAATGAATTATCAGTAGTTGTAAGTTGAAGCAAATGAAGTTCTCTAGAAATGTTTCAATATTTGTTTCAATATTTGTTTTGGATTAGTGGAGCAAGGGAAAAATGGAAGGGGAGTACAGTAACTGAAAGCCTAGAGATTTGATCCCTTGCCTTATCCTACAACCTACCTGGCCTCCCTATAGAAGGGGGAGATACTAGGATTGGTTGAACTGCTGTTTGCGGGGGAACAGCTGTCGTGACACTGGCTTGAGAGGAAGCAGCAGAATTTGAGAAGACTGTAGCTGGAGCAGCATTAACACAGGTGGAGGTTGAGATTACTGCAGAATTCACTATCACCTGCCAAAGAGACAGAATGTCAGCACGCTGACTCTAGACACCAGCTTTGAGAAAGGCTATACAGGTTTTAGACATAACATAGTTCAAAAATTCTCAGTTCGCATTACAGCTAGGACTTCCAAAATACATTTAAGGCAGCTAGTTATCCAAGTTCCCTCAAAGTTGGCTTGAAAATCCCAACCTGAAAATACCTGTTTAGAATTGCAAACATCTGCAACGCATCTTCCCACCCTTCTATTTTGCTTATATTTGCTTATACTTACAGGGGATTGTATTCTTTGCTACAAGACTACGAGAAGGCAGAACTCAGAGTGATCGAGTGCAGCAGTCACCTCCCCACAGGGCTGCCACAATAAAGTGCTAGTTATTACCTTCTGGGGATAGCTGTAGGAAGCACCTCCATCTTGAGGAGACACAGACACTGTCCCTTCTTCCTGAAGGGAGTCCAAAGCAAAGTTTGATCCATTTAAGAGGCAGAGAATTCACAAGATTAGAAAGTTTAAGCTTCTAGTGTGTGTAATTGTGGATGTGTGCGTGTGTATATATATACACACACACACACATAAATAATCTGAAAACAGAAACTTTGCAACTGGAGCAAAACCAGTTTCATTCTGACATTCGTAAGACTAGTTTTCACACCCACTGTAGACCAGCAGGTGAGCGAAGGGAGAAGTGGTAGCCCTTGATCTAGTTCTAGGTAACAAAAAATTCAAAGCTGGTTCTATCAGAGATGAGATCTATCCAGTTCCACAGTAGATGAGTAAGACTAACTGGAATGGGATTTGCAGCGTAGCATGATAAAAGTAAGGGCTATCTGGAGCAGGAAAGAAGAGTAAATAGGACTCAAAATACATTAATGATTTTCTACCTTGCCCTGGGCAAAGAGAAAACACATACCTAGTACCATTCAGACTGTACTCGCAAACTTGGGAGACAAAAAAAAAATTGCTATTTAAGAGGCAAATAAGAGGGAGAAATAAATGAAACCATCATTCCTTTCTTCCAAAAACGGTCTCTGACCTGCTACACTAAGCCTGCTTCCAAGGGTAGTTTCTACGAAGAATGCCAAGTACTTCGGGGAATCCTAATCCAAATAGACCATGACTAAATCTTACCAAGTTTGCTGTAGGTTCTGCTGAACTAAATACTGTTGCAGTTTCACAGTCTGGATCTGGAGGGCATGGGCAAGGTTAATTGAGAAAGTGCATTAAATCTAATCTTTCAGAAACTTATAAGATTGTAACGATTGCATTGCAATCATCACATGTTGCATCAGAAGAGATCAAATTTTACTTACCTGAAGGTGCATAGAGATATTCTTCATGAAATTTCCCTAGAAGAGAGAGAACACGAAGCTTTGATTTAGGGGAGGGGGAGGGAGAGGAGGGTTTAAAGCTGAAGCTACCACAACAGCAGATGCTGAAGCGTTAACATGAACTGAGCTACCTTCAGGGGAAAAATAAACACCCACCACACAGTGCCAAACAGGAACCTGTTACCACTGTGCTGTTACCACTTTTCTTAAAGGATCTGAAGCAGCACTGTCAGCTCCCTCTATTAACGTTATATGAGCTGTTAAATCCTGAGTCACTGCCTCCACCTGTAGATACCAAGACAAACTTAAACTTGGGTTAAAATTCCAATCTACATTATAGCTCTGTTTGAAGTCACTGTATTTCTAGGATTACAGACTTTAAGGTATTAGACATTAGCTTTCATTTTGTCAACTTTTTTTTTTTTTTTGGGGGGGGGGAGGAGGAGAGAACACTCCCCCTCAAAAAACCCAAGAAGGAGTTCATGGTTTGATTTAAAACCTAGAAAATAATTACTGTCTTGGAACACAGGATAAAGAGGGCACATTCTGAACAGAGAAAGAGGTTACTGAAACTGAAGTATTCTGGAGGGGGACAGGAAGAAAGTCCTTCAAACAAACAGCACAACGTAACACGCTACATTGCTCTAACTGTTCGGAGGCAAGCATTATAGCAGAACCAAGATGATAAAATTAGACAGTTTCCATTTGTAAGGCTTCTCCATTGTAAATTGTGGGAACTGATTTGGTAGGGCTAAGAAAAATATAAGAAAAGAAAGAGTTACTAGCACTCTCTAGAACTCCTTGTTTTCAAAGTTGAAATATGAAGATAAGTGCCCTATCTCAGACACTTCTAGAAAACAAACAAAATCCAGTCCAAAAAAATGAGTTTCTAGAACTTAATCACAGCATAGCAGAGTTTGACTTAATATACTTAAAAGTGTATGTATATAGTTAAAAGCTAAAGAAAGCATCAGTATACTGAGAGACACTGTCATCTCAGCAAGTTTGCTCAGTTCTTCCACCAAGTATCAAGGTTGCCATCACCAAATGCAGTCTACACCATGCATTTTCAAGCAACAAGTTGTCTTGCTACAGACCTATGCAATCAAAAGAGGGATAGTCTAGCAAGCTTAAGTGAAACCATGACACATCCCTGTCGGGCAATGAAAAAAATAACATACTCACACACATGTTCAAAGCTTGCAATAAATGGATCTTTAGGAGAACTAAGCAACCCACTTTGATGATCAGAAGCACGCTGCAGATCTTTGACCTTTTGTCTTTTCTCTCCTCCCACTAGTCCTTTCAGGACTCACCGTTTTCACTTGTTTCTTCCACTTCCTCCTCTGAGGAATTCAGGGTCTGCTTGTTAGCTGGAACAGAGTTAGGGCCTCTCCTTGCTACCCAGAACCCTGCTGGACCATGCACAATGGGAGCAGGGCTACCCTGGCTCTGAAAAGCAAAAATCAGTAGTGCATATTTAAGAATAGTATAGCCTTTCCCTGCTCCACAGGCACACAGAGCTTCCCATCATCTTGAAACAGACTGGCAGAACAAGTCTGCTGCAACCAACGCTTACTCTAACTGCAGTTTGTGTGCTGTTCCTACGCATCCTCCATACAGCAAAATACTTGTGGACACTTTTCTTTCCTTTTTACCTTTTGTCCCGCCCAGCACACATTTGGTAATTTGATCTCTGAAAGCCTATCACTGTCCCATGCAACACATTTAAGTTGCTCCACTCCAGAGTTTAGTCAGCTTTGTTTCAGGTTAAAATGAAGCTGGAAAAGGGGGTGCAGACAGCAGGCCAAGATTCTCTATCTACCTCCAACATACGCTCCCACATTCTTCATCCTGGAACACTCCCACCAAACCAGCAACAGAGCAGTTAATCCAAACACTCCAACTCAAAGGAGGAGAGACTGTCTTTAGCCACAACTGGAGAAACCCATGAGGCAGGCAAGCAGCATAGACCCCACCGTCTGCACTAACTGGACCCACACATGCAAGTCTGACTCTTCTAAAAGACCAGCACCCATTAGGGTTCCCATGAGACCACTGCAATTCTTCATGTGCCCTTTGTCTTTGCATGGAAAAGTCACTCCTTAGCTGCACCACGATTTAAAAATCTAGAGTTTTCTGAAGAAGCAGGAACAGAGGATTATGAGAAGCATGAGTAAAAGAAGTTAATTCACTCTTTCGTGATGGCTAAGGTGACACTCAAAATTCTCCTCAGAAGACATGATGGCTATGAAATCGATAAAGCGCTCAGAGAGGCTTGTAAGATTTCCAAGGTTGAAGTAGAGGTCGAGAGTCAGAAGATTCTCCCACCAGGCCTCTAGTAGGATGGTAGAGTTTTCAGTGAGATGCATCTTTCCCCAGGAAATGTTATATTCCTTTACTAAACAAGACAAGGAAGAGACAGAGAAAAGGCTTTGGCATTGACAATAACAGAGTGGTTGAACGAACATGAAAAATTATTCACTAGCAGCTGCAACTATTTAGCCTAGCAATAGGGATGGAAAGCTACTAAGCTATATTGATCTCGTGTCTGGGGAAAAAAGTATTCAGGATAATCTGTCTTTATTACTTGACACTCTTGGATGAAGTCACAGAGCAACAATCACAGATCTAGCATAGGAACCAAAAACAGCTGCTGAAATAACCCTGAGCAGATTCCCTCCCTCTCTCTCACTATTTAAGTAAGGCTGCATTTATGAATTTCACTGCTTTGGTGCAATAAAGAAGTTTCAAATCTACCAGGTTTTAGAAGATCTACTTTCCTCTTCAGATAGCTAAACATCAACTGATTTTTTGCAGCAGTTTGCACCAAGTTTAGACTTACAATAAATAAATAGAAGATTGGTTTTAAAGATTAAGAATACTGTGTCACTTCATCTATAGACCTGCCATCAAGACTATTTTAAAAAGAAGTCTAGATTTTTTTTTCCTCCTGTTTTTGTAGCAGAAGAAACTGTTTCAGGAACAGCATGCTACTCCAAGGTATCACAACCATAAATTCGTTAGAACAACCCAGACTATCACTATGCAGCTTCTGAATCTAGTTACACAAATCATAAATTACAGCATGGCAAACAAGTGAAGAGCTTACTCCCACAATGTTTAGACCTAGATAGCAGACATCCAGAACAGGAAGGGATTTTTTTTTTTGTTCTCTCTCTCCAAACCTCATTATCAAACTGCAATAAAAAGAATAAAAGTGACCCTACCCGTATCAAAATATACTAAATATAAAATAAAACAACTGCTGCTTGAGGATAGTGGTGGCAGGACATGCAAAACACTTAGAAAAACTGAGATTTTAAGCAGGTTTTGCAGGATCTAGACTCATGTCAGCCTTCACTTCTCCAAAATACATTCACTGCTAAAGCTCATACCAGGAAGCAGAGATGCTGTGTACTCAGGTGAAGAAGCGCTGTGCATTTGTACAGCTTTTTTTTTTTAATTTCAAAATTTTTAAACAAGTCTCTTGCTATAACTTACTGGTAGAGCAGGAAAAGCAGTTTCATCCCCTTCTTCAATTTCATAGAAAGTTATTGTTTCTTCTGATCCTTGAGGCTCCTCTCCATTCTCTGGTACAAACCCATACTGACATTCCTTATTCACACACTGCATCTGACGGCGACTACGGCTGTATGAACTTTAAAAAGGAGAAAAGAGGTTAAGGATCACAACTGTCTGGAGTGTCACTTTGGTTTTGCTGCTCAGTTTTAAACTCTGTTTTTGGAGGTGCACAATATTCCCGTTATTTGTTATCATGCCGTTAATAGCCAACTCAGCCCTCCCCACGCCTCTCCCATCACCTTCCCCAACCTTTTTAGAGCAATGTTTTGTAAATAGGTTTATATTCACTTACCGGGACCTGTAGGAGAAATTGTCATAGCTCTGATAGCATCTCTTTCCTGGACTGGGGTAGAATGCTATTTGAGGGCCAACCATGTTGTGCCTGTTTATAAATCGGGCAGATCCCCTAAGTTTAAAGGGTAAAAGGTGCAATTACCAGGAAGGGCCTCTCAGATGGAACTCGCTTGTAGAATTATCTACTAAATAGCACAAACTCTGTCCCAACTAGTCTGCAGCAAGCATGAATAGAGAACGAATGGTGATCTCCAGTAGGTTTTCAAGGCTTCATACCTCGGCATCCCAAATCCACGGCTATGTCTCTGAGCAGGATTCTGAGGATGATAGGGTTCATAAGGTGCCATGTTTCCACCACCCTGTGAGCAGTGAACTGGAGAAGATCGCCCTGAAGGAACACCGTGCTGTAGCCGGGGTGGAAGAACTGGCTGACCTCTACTATAAGCCACAGTCATAAAAACTTCCTTTCCACGGACTTTCTTAAGCAGTCTCTTCCGTGTTTTCATATCCATTTCTGCAGTTTCAATTTAGGACAGAAGAGAGAGGCTTACACAAGCATCTTAAACAACTTACTCCAGAGTTCTATTCTATCATTTGAAAAGAGTCAGTATTTGGACACAATAATCCACCCCAAAAAAGCATCCGAAGTATGCAAACTGCATGCCATTATTTTGAAACCTCAAATGGGCATTCTAAAAACATGAGCAGAATATAGTGTCTCACATACGTAAATACTCTCCCAGTTTCAGCTGACCAAACTACTAATCTCAGTATTAAAAATATCTTCATAAAGGCTCCTTTTACTTATTATTACAAAACCATTCTCCACATCAAACAAATGAAGTCTGTATCTACTTGACTACAGGAGCCCTCGTTCTTCCATATATCCCCGATAGGGCCAACTCAGACAAATTCCTCGACACATGGACCCAGGCTTTATACATGGTTCTCAAATGCCGAATTTCTTCTTGGTAATTTTGAGCAATATTAACCCTACTATGTATTTTCAATGGACTTGCTATTTTGCAAGGATAAATTCATCCTTCTCTGTGAATAATCATGTTACACAAGTCCCCCGCAGTGCCAAGTTTTAAGGTTAAGTCACTTTCAATATCTAAAGACTGCTGCTATTAAAACTGGTCTTCTTTCCTTCAGAAGGGAAAAAACATTGAAACCCAGTACAAACCTAATCCTGAGAAGTATCCACCTGTTATTTTCTGATAGCTTCCTCCTTTGCGGCTGGGAACCACATTCCAAGCAAGGACAGGTGCCACTTGCGTCACTGGTTTTAAGTTCGCCAATGGAACTGTATGCCTACATGAAAGATATTGATGTCAGCAGTGCTGCAAAAATACATTGCGCGTTAACTGCACGGAAACAAAAACCGAAGCAACATCAAAAGTCAATCTCTCTTTAAACACGAGACACCTAGATTTCAAAATTGCCCCCTTCATTCTGAGGTAAATGGACCTGCATTTAAAACGTTATAGTTAATGATTCCAACTCCAATACATAAGCTAGCTTTTTCAGAGTCTTAAAAAACGTGGGAAGATAGAGACAAACTTATACTCCCCAACTCTTCCTGCAAGTACCCTACCATCTTATACTGTTTCTCTGATATCCAGCACCTTACTGTTATTTGTATATTAAAAAAAGACAAGGTAGGATTTCATCTCAATGCTATCCTACCAGCCTGCTGGGTTGAATTTCTTCTCTATATTCACATGCTTTCAGAGGTACAACTGAACACAGTACGTAGACAAGCCTAATTTTAAATTCGAGGGAGGGGGAATGCTTTAAACAGCAAGGTGGAGAAAGTGATTAGATTTGTTGTTAGAAGAGCAGCCAAAAAGCTGAATATTTGGCAACAACGTAAAGCTTCCAGAGAAGCCAGTAACCGAATAATTCGCTGTCTGTGAATTCAACCCAAGTGGAAAAGATTGCTTTTTGCAGTTCAGAGAAGAGACAGAAGAGCAAGGCTACTCAATAATCACCACAGTACTGACTTTGGTCCTTAGAAATCCAATAGAATAATTTTCCTGCAACATTTTAAATGGACAGTGATAGCCAGCAAGAAAGCATATCTCCTATAAAGCCTCTCTTTATATTTGAGTCTGGATTCTCTTTTCTTCTCAGAGTAGCCTAATAATCCCACTTATGGCATCTGTCAGATCAAAGCATACACAGACACAACCAGAAACTGTTCAGCAAACATGAAATGCAGTTTTAAGTTGTCATCAAATTGCTTACTTTTCTGCTAGTTCTTCAATGAACACAGTCACTGTGTTGCCATCCTGTCCAACTTCCTGGATATGAGCGTTGTAATACTTACCTCCAGGTTCCAAACGTACCTGAAGAGAGAATAAGGGAAGCGCTAAAAAAAAGCCCTAATGGTATCAGAGGAATCAGAACACTGTCTACAATCCACTGATAACAAAGGCTGTTTTCTAGCTGGCCAAAGATTACTGAGTTGGCCCAAGAGTCTCAAATATTTCTTCAACATGGCAGCTAAATAAAGAGTGCTATACTAACCTGAGGAATGAAGGAAGAGAAAGGAGACATCGCAAAGAAACTTGTGAGCAAAAACAAGGTAAGACGACAGATTCCAACACTTAACTTATTTTTATACCTTGTGCCAAGCAAATAACTACTAGGAAGGCCGTTATTTAACAATTTCAGCAGAACAGAAGATAAAACAGGAAACTGGAAAGGAAAGCTCTACTCAGCTAGGAACAAGTCACTGAATGAGTCATCAGTACTACCTCAAACAAAGCGATAAAGAAAAAAAAAAAAAGCCCTCGCTCCATACAACATGGGAACATGAAGCAAGCTGACCTTCCTTTCAACATCTCCTGGCCTTACCTTGCCCCTCCTCCCCTCCCTTTTTTGGTTTCCTTTTTTATTTAGGGAAATATCTGCTACGTTACTGTTGAGTAGGGGGAAGACTGGCCAAACCTGCTGGTGACCCCCAGTGGAAACCTAGTACATAACTGCCTCAAACACTTACCTGTGTATTTTGAGTTCTCAGTCTGGAACTTCCACGCTGGCAGAATACGTATCACTACAAGTTCGTTGTGAACTTCAAAGCAGCTTTTTCATCATACTACCCAATGCTTAAGCTTAGATTTTTTTGAACAAAACGTAATTAAAAGACAGATTAATAGGTACAGGGAAGAGAATAAGAAGAGTCTTGGAAAAGTCTATGAGGTTGGAGGATTTCATGACTTACCATACTTCACTTAAAATAACTTTAGTAACTTCTCATAACTGAATCTGCTTCGAGTACCAACCTGACACTTGTCTCCTAAGTAGTACTGTCTCCCAGCAAACACCATGTAGTCAGTTTTTTGAAGCTCTAAAATAAATAAAGGAAAATCTACTTTAAACTACTGTTCTTTCTTCATGCATACCTACAAGTACTTCATGATTTCAGGACTACACCCAACTACTAGTCGTAAGCCATGAGTTAATTAAATGAGTTAATTACTCCCCTATGCATGGCTGAACATTCCCCACAGTGATAATGAAGCAACTGAAGCTGTTCTTGTAACATAAACCATAACCAGGCTAGAGTTACAGGCAATGAATAACATCTAGATACTGCATCAAGTAGCATTATTACTTCAATACTTGTATGGTATTAAGAATGCTGGACATACCTTGTATTGCCAGAGCCCTGTTGGCACTTTGTAAAAATGAGATGCTGCCCAGAAAAACCAACATCCCCTAACATCTCCCTTGCTGCTAGCTTTCAACAGACTTTTCCTCATTTCTTGCCTAGATCCTCTGCACATTCACACTCTATACAGATAATTAGTTGCTATACCCTGCTCCAAGAATTTCAATGACTCTCATTATTACTTATGCAGTTATAAAACACTCCAGTTCTTCAGTATGCAGAAGATTTGGGGTCAGGCATCCCTCAAACCTCATCTCGCTTGGCAACTTCTTCCTCTAAAGAGCAGCCACATAAGATATGCAAACCTGCAGCTATCTAACCCAAGCCATGAAGACCTTGAGATCTCCTCCATGCTGTTCAAGCCCAGGGGAGCTGGGAAGAAAGAGACAAGTCATCTCTTTTGGCAGATCTCAATGCTCAACTTGACACCTTCATTATTATACAACACTGAGGCCAAAAGCACGCATGGAAAGCGGGAATCCTTGCACAGCTGCTGCTACCAAAAATGATAAGAACACACACAAATATACACACACATACACAAACCCTCAAACTTGAGTGATTCCCGATATGACAGCAGTGTAAAGCAAAATTCCATTTTGTACTCTACTTCAAATCTGACATTTTAGTAAACGTGGTATAGAAAACACGAAGAGATCAGATTTTTAGCAACCTTATTATAATTCTATAGAATCAGAAGCAGTGTATTTAGTACTGTGAAATCAAGCCAGGAATTCAGCTACTGGCAAGAGGATGTACAGCCTACAACTACCTACTTGGGTAACCACCGCCCTTCGCATTTCAGTTGTGCTGAAACGTGCCATGAACCTCATAAATCCATAAGGTTAACATTATGTGCAGTATAGAAAGTTTTTGTTTTTTAAATTTAAATATACCTTTTCTGCTGTCCAGCCAAACATCAAACTCTACATTTCGATAGATCTCAGGGTCCAGAGCTTTTAGCACTTTATATGGAAAAGGCATCTTTGGTGGATTTTCTGGAGGCTAAAAATAGAGTTGAAATGGACTAAAATTAACAAGTGTGTGTGCAATGTCCAGAATAGTTTCTATCCTACCAGCATCTGCAGATCATTTTAACATATGCGCACACACTATGCTCCCAACTTTTTCCACCTCCGGTAGGTTTGCTTTAATAATAAAGCCCAAAAATATGAACGTGCATACAGATTCTTCAGCTGAGCAAACAGACTGTGAAAAGGTTAAAATAGGCTCAGGAGTAACGCTTGGCATGCTCTTTACTCAAAGAGTATCAAAGGAAGCTAGCCAAGACCAATGAAGCCATGGCTTCCCAGTTAGTGGGAATTTCAGCTATTCAGTATGTCTGAAAACAGTTTTCTGAAGCTTTTTTTTAAACCAACTCCAGCAAATTAATGTATATCGTGTTCAAAATGAAAGAGAACAGAGTTAAATCATAAAGAACACACCAGGAAATGCTTGCTAAGTTCCACCTTTGGGAAAAAGTTGGCTAGGAAAAAAACAAAAACTGGATAGCCCTCTGTCCTTTCTGAGGTTAAGACAAACGCAAGGGCAAACCAAAACTAGGCAGATGATAGTCACAAGACGCATGAGCCACCCCCTCCCAAGGTGGGAATTTTTTAAAAGTGGAAATAAAGATTTAACCTTAACCAAGGTAACATGACATGACTGGGGGAGGGGGGCAGCATTTTTCCCTAACTGCCAAACCTTTGCTTCTTCAACGCCTTGCTTGAATTTATCTTCAGGTGCGTTGTCAATGTTATTGCCTTCCCAGTCTTCCACTCTAAGCAATTTAAGATAAGATTACAAAAGATATAATGCATAATTTCTAACCAGGATCAAAATCAAATGAATGTTCACATGACCAAATAAAAGCACCACGGTGCCATCAAGTGGTAGATTTTGCCTTTCACACTAGCTATTACTGCAGTACAGTGAAGGCCAGCAAGTCTTGTTCTAATTTCAAGGAAAACAAACTAACAAAAAGAAAACACAAACAAAAAGCCCACACCTTTACCTGTTCCAACACCCACCCCTCGAACAACAGCCACCATGTTGCATAAGGATCAGTCAACAAAAATCTCACTGACAGGCATTGAACTCTTGCACTGCAAGAGCGCCACAAGGCGCTGTGCTCTAAGCCCAGGAGTTCCCTATCAAGCCAACATCATCCACAGGTGTTCAGTAACAGTCAAAGCCATCCCTCAAACCCTTTGGTAAGGTGATCAACACAGGATACGAGGGTTTCCATAGGTACTTTCCGCCCACTCACTTGCAGGACCCCCAGTGATCCAACAGACAGTGGTTACACAGTAGCTTTATGAATAATGCCACCATTTAATTGTCTATTTGGAGCACAATTCTGCTAAAAATGGACAAACAAGAAAATAAATAGAGCTCATCTTTGAGAGCACTATTGCCTCTACAGGGCTATAGAGGCTTTGAAGAGTTAACAGTTTCTCACTAAAGGGGAATTGTAATGACATAAGGAACAAGGTTATTTACAAATTGCCATTTTACAGAGCCACCCACAACTGCAGCAGAGGATGCTCAGTTGCATGACACTTTCCAGCTCCATGGAAAGCACACTGCCTCTTCCACAATACACTTCAGCTTTGCATTTGTGTCATGATACAAGAGGGAGGGGATTTTTTTTTTTAAAAACAAAACAAACAAAAGGCCAGAACCCCATCAGCATTCAAAGAAACAGAGATATGAGCCTACTAAATTCCTGCCCTTTGCCAGGGTTTTAATTCCTTTGCTTCCCCTTTACCATATTCTTTCCCCAAATACTACCTCTTTTCTGGTGAATTTTTTGACACTTTTTCAGGAAGACAATCGAAGTTTGCATCCTCACTTCCTACAGAGCCACTGTTTCTGTTCTTCTTAGACCCACTTCGAAACATCTCAACTGCCGACCTTAATTCTTCCTCATCCATGGCAAACACATCTTTGTACAGGATCTCATACAATACAGCTAGACAAATCAACACAAAGCTCAAAACAAGTTAACACAATACCAGATGCACAAGAACAGCTGGAACTTTGAAGGTAAGCAAAGGTTACAAGGTACTAGTTATATTAAATTCAATTAAGGAGATAATCAAAGAATAACTTCAGTCAAAAGGGACCTCTGAAAGACATCTGGTCCAATATCCCACTTCACAGACAGTATAACAACTGTACGTATATAGAAGTATATCATAAATGAGCTTCCTTGTCTCTCCCTCCCACTCCCCCTCCCCTGGAAAAAAAAAAACAAAAACAAGCCAGAACACTGCCTAGAAACATGAAAAGACAATTCTCTTTCATAGAAAAAGAAGTTTCAAGTTTACCCTGGCAAATAGCAGCATTTGCCTGGAATTGTTTTGTATACACAGAGTCATAATGGCCGTTGCCGGAACAACACAGTAAAATCTGGGAAAATAAAAAAAAGGCTTTAGGATGGAATGACGTAAAATCCAACATTGCCTATTTGATATCCTAACTCAAGACTATGTTATTCTTCCATTCTACAGCCAATACCAAGTTCAAGAAAATAATTATAATCATCAACATAAATAAGAAAAAAAAAGCTGTAAAACCAGCTTAGAATTGAATTCTAGTTAAATTCTATGAATAATTGTATCTTTTATACAAACCGTTGACTTGTATGTTATGCTGTGTTAACAATGAAACAATAGTTTGTTTCCAGCTTAACTCCAAAACCAACATTTGTTCAAGAGGTAAAATAAATACAAGCCATTACATGCAGAATCCCTGAAGTACACTGTCCAAGCATCAAAGGCACATCTCACACTTCCCTACCTGCGGGACTAGAAGAGTAGCATTTATACGTGGACTCTACTCTAGCTTTCAATAAAGCCTTGCTCACATGATGCAATTCAGTCCACAAAGGCTGCTTTTTGCAGTGTGTGCACCAACCCACCAATTAAGCACAAACACCATCAAAACTCAGGCTGGCACATGACCGCCAGCAACTTCGACTGGCAGAAGCCCTTCGGCAGCCTGCAGCTGTCAGCACAGTGCCAGCAAGGACGCCTCACAGGGAGCCAGCAGCAGCTGGGATGCCAGGGCTCTTATTTGGTGCGCGCTATGTCTTCCGCCAACACAACCTGTCTCAGTGAGGGCATGCAACATTAGAAAGAGCTGCCGCCTCTGCATGCAAGCTAATGACACACAGGTGCCAACACTTAATGAGAGCTCTGGTGGTAAAGCCTTCTAGGACAAAAGCACATTTAGGCCACGCTGCATAGTTTTTAGAAGTACACTCCTTTTGGAGGGAGATTAAACTACATGGGAAAGAAAGGGACAATCTAGGTGCAACTCAAGCGCGGGCAGGCAAGCAAGCCAAGACAGCAGTACTAACCTAGAACAAAACAGCTGCTGCAGCACAGATTTCAGAGCAGACTAGCCACATGAGCAAGCATAATAGCCCATACTGAAATCCATACTGCAGCGACTTCACTGGCAGACCACCTGAGCCACCCACATAATTGGGCCGGCACACCTACACAATCACAGAAAAACCATGAGGGGGTCAGATAGGAGGTTATACAAAATATTTCTCCTTTAAGTTCATTTTTTCCTCCAATAGTAATTTTGTTGTGAAGATAAGCTGTTCCAATAGCTCAGATTCTTAACTGGGCTCAATTTGTATGTCACGGAAATGCACCAATTTGTTAGATTAATACATTCCCATTAATTTCTCCTCTTCAGGAAGAAAAACCACACACCCCATCTGACTTCTCAAAGAGAGGCCGTAGGGGTGATGGAGAACACCATCTCCTCACAAATATGATAAATCTATCTTGTTTTGCTCTTCAGTGACTCAGCCCAGATGTTTCACTCTACCCAGTGAGATTAGTTAAGTTACCAGTGGAAAGCGTTTTTAAATCAGCAAAATTTCAGGAACATGAAAGCTGATCAAATAGGAAGATTCTGGAACTGCAAGCTCCTCCTTCCTGCCAAAATTAAACTTGTTTCCAATAATTAACTGGAATAACAAACAAAATTGGCAGGAGAACAGCACACAAGCCATTTCTCAGATGGAAAGGGAAACTACTGTAATTCAATTTATTATTGTGCAAATAGCCTGCTTATCCATGAGCTGAAGCCAGCTTTGGAGTTTTTTTTTTTTCCCCCCCCCCAGGTATGCAAGAGATACAGACTCTTCACTGGAGTTACCAGAGCATGATTCAAGCAACAAGGCTTGTACAACTGAGCAGGGCTGGAGGAATTGAGGAGTCAGGGGGAGGGGTAGGAAGTTGCCTCACTTCTCCTCACCTTGTCTTCAAAGCCATTGTCTGTAGCATAAGTGGGTGGCTTTCCAGGGTACCGGTACAGAATAAAGTCTCGACTAGGTAAGCAGAGGAAAAACAAGACTTGAAAGAGTGCACTTTCAGTAGAACCATGTTATGAAGAAGTTTGAAGGGAACTGTTTAGAGAATCCACTGTTGGTTTACAGAAAGTGAGCAGAATACTTTCTCTGATAAATTAATGCTATCATAAAGCAATAGTTAGATGAGCAAACTACACCCATCTTAGAGAAGGGGGTATCCGAGAAAGTCAGTTACATCTAGTCACTGATAACAAAAGCACGCATCACATGAGCTCAGGTACTTATACCTATGACAAGGTGCTCAGCCAGTGGGACAGTTAAGTCTAAGAGATTCAGTCATCCTGTGAAAGGATTAGAGCCTCAGTACAGGAAACTAGCAACTCTTGTGAAAGTCCAATTTGTTCATTTAGTACTGGAACAGATACAGTTTGCAAAGGGAGGGTTCTTCTTTCTACCACTGGAGAGTCAGACTGTTTGTTCAGCAATAAGCAGCGTTTTTAGCAAGACAGCCAGCACCTGCAGCAAGCTTATGTAACATTGCAAACTAATTTCAGGGTTGACACACCAAGCAGTCCTCACTACTAGAGCTTTCAGAAACACACATCCGAGTTTTAGCCATGCTTATAACTGCCACACGGTGTTTCCACTACACACAGCTTCTAGTCATTTCACACGTTCTCCATCCTTCAACCCCTGGAAGGAAGCATTCGACTTCCGAGTTCAACATCAGTGAAAAGATACCAAATAAACATTACAAGAAATCGACCCTCCCCATGGGGCACACAACTAGTACCAGAACAGGGGCACATTGTGCTGAGACCCACTTAGATGTTAAAGTAACTCGGTTAGGGTGGCATTTTTACCATGTTTCACAACACGAGTGCCTCTGCAACACGCAAATATAAAGGTCCGGGGAAGAAGACCAGAACCCAAATGCTTTGTAGTCCAAAACAAAATGAAATTTAAGTAGGAAAGTGACACTTACTTGTAGATTACTGATAGAGCACTTATTTCCAGCTGGCCAGCACTTTCCTATGCAAGAGTAGGAAATTACATGAAATAGCAGAGCCGTCTTCAACATTGGGAACTCTATACCAGCTCTCTGCAGTATTAAGATAGCTAACCAAATCCATCAGTTTGTTTAGGAAAAAAAAAAAAAAAAAGCACACCAACAAAGGCATCAAGAATTGAGACATAAGAATTTCCAGAAGTATCTGCAAAAGGGGATGGCTGTGATTACCAAACCAATGGCCAAAGATGGAGCTACTTCTGGCAGCCATTCCTAAGGGAGTCACTCAAATATACTTATTTAAAAAAAAGAGTACACTGCATTTGTTTCAGATACTGCTGCATTCACTATATTTACTAGTTAAAAAAATAAGTTTAAACCCTAGCATTCAAACTCTGGAGTGAAGGAAGAAAAGGGTTACAAAGCCTGATGAACATCTGCTGTGAGGTACAGTTCATACATTTTCCTTTTACCTTAGGGAGAAGCTGCAATGGTAAATAAGACTCATGAGAGAGACCTCAGCTTTGCTGTCTGGTCTGTATAGATAGCTCCTTTACACTCACATGAACTCCCACGGAAATCGATATTGTTTACACACTGTTTATTTGTACCGAGTGTTTCTGTATTCTCTGTGCAAACGAGACCCCAGGATTGGGGCCTAATTGACAATAAAACATTTAAAGCCATCACCAAATTACTTTCCTGATCTTTTCTCCTCAAATTTTAGTACCTCCACAAGTATTAGACCAGTCTTACCTTTGGATCCCCCAGTCGTTCCAGGTACTTCTCAAATGACCCTTCCACATACTTTAAACAAAAGAAGGGGGCGGGGGGAGTATTAAAAAAAAAAAAAGAGAGAGAGAGAGAGAGAGAGAGAGACAAAACCACAAACTTAACCAGCTGACAATTGTAACTAACCCTAATACTATGCCAGATAACATTACTAGCTGTTAAACAGGACACCTACTGCAAGTTGCAGGGGAGGGAAAAGGGAGGGAAAAAAACCCCACAAACAACCACCAAAGAAAAAAAATTCACCACCACCCCAACCCAGGCTTGGGACTACTCTGCCAGGTCCTACCGCCTCGGGGTTCTGACGGGCTGTGGTCTGACTGCGGATACCCCTGCAGCTGCATCCCCTGCAGGCACAGGGATGATTTGGGGGGCCAGTGGGGAAATATCAAGAGAATCTTAAAATATATTAAAAATAAAAAGACAGCACAAATGCTCATCCATTTTTTCCACTTCTAGAGTACATAATGCACTTTTTTTGTTGTTGTTTTATCACAACTAACAAATAAAAACCACATCTGAGCTGTATAAAAAACACCACTCGGCCTAGGCAATAGCTTCAGATCCAGTCAGATGCCTCCCATTACCCCGGGACAGCTGCAGGTAAGCACAGGGCAAAATGCAAGGAGTGTTAAAAATAAATAAGTAGTATTAATTAAAAAAAAAACAACAACCAAACAGTATCTCAACGCTCAATCTCACAGAGACAAGGAAAGGACCTGACTACACGATAGTATCGTTTTTAGCAGAAGCTGAACCCTCACTAACACCAAAATTCACTGGCTTTTACCAGCCAAAGCAAAACCTTCGTGCAGCACCTTTAATGCTTACTAGATCATCCAGACGGGCTCAGAGCAACGCAAACACGACTTCACCCCACGGCTAAACACCGACGGGCATATCTCCCTAACTCTTGACGGTTTCCGACTCCCCCCCAAAAAATCCTCAGGCTCGTTCACACCCCGAGCTCTGCCCCGGCTGCCTCACGGGGAACACGCGACACGCGGACAAGGGCG